TTCTTGAGAAGAAATTTTTTTAAGATGCCATTAGTTTTTCTCTAATTCGTAATAATCTCCCCTTAGAAAAGGGCTAGGCCCTTCATTTGAACAAACTTGAGTTCCATTTACCCAAGGATACTTTGTAGCAAGTTTGGTTGAAATTGGCCCAGTGGTTCTTGAGAAGAAGATGAAAATGTGAAAAGTTTACGACAACGACAACGACTATGACAACGACAGACAACGGACAAATTTTGATCAGAAAAGCTCACTTGAGCCTTTGGCTCAGGTGAGCTAAAACATTGAAGAATTGTGCAAGCAGTGTGCTTCTCATAGGCAGTAATGAGTTTGGACAGTGGTTTTAGAAGAGGAAATAGGTATATTTTAATACATGCAAGGACAATTTTTAAAATTTAGTTGATCACACAAATATTTCATCACCATGATTACATAAAGATTTATACAAAATTAAATTGAGTGCCTATAATTTTTTCAAATTGATGATATTTTGAAAATCAAGAACATTGGTAAAAAATCATAAAAAAAATACTGCCACTCATATAGTTTATACTAAAAATTTTAGCATGTACATGTACTAGACAATATATGATTGCTAGTACACCTAGTATATTATAGAGGTTTTAAACATCTACCATACATTTTATCATTCCTCTCTTGAATTATACATTATTTACAATTGATTAAAATTCTATCTTATAGCAACAGTTGTCCATGTGCTGCAGTATTTATTGGATCCAACCAAAGCAGAAAAAAAACCCTGAAGCAAATTCATATGGTAAAGTGTAGGGCTAGAAAATTAATAATTATATTTTTTTTACTTGTCACTTAGGCTATCACCTTGGTTTTTTAATAACTCAGTTCTCTTATTATCCCACTGGGCCAGTTGATTTTGAAAGAACTGTCCAAAATGCATAACTATAATTTATAGTACATGTAATACCTGTTTATGTTATGACACTTTGTAATAGTGCAACATACATGTAACAGAACAAACCAAAAGTCTCTGTTGAGACTGTAGCTCTATTGGTTTGTACTTATAACAAACAGACAAAGGAAGAAAAAAGTAGCAGTTGGGTTTTGAAACTTTACAAGTGCAATAAATAGAATAATAATTCTTGATAAAGCCTCTTTTTGTGGCAAGATTGCAATAAAACCACAACTGTAGGAGCTGCTTTTATAAAATTTTACAAAAATTTCAATTTTAGTTACTGTGACAAAATCATTCATCAATATGAAAAAACAAAAATAACAATTATGTTTCTCTGTGTAGTCTATTTGCATGCCACATTATATTATAATCAGACTAAAACTGTATTTAGAATAGCCTTTTGAAAGTATTTCATAGAAATTTCTATTTTTTATTGACCATGGCAACACTGTTCATCAAAATTAAAAAAACCCATACATTATCTTCTAATTTGTAATTTAACCATTTACAAAATTCACATGTCATAACATATGATATATTGGGATTGTGGTAGGTAAACATGGTTAAGTCAAAGTAAAGTTTTTTTTTCAAAAGAGGTCAGTTATCAACTTTATTCTAAAAGCACTGGGGCACTTTTTTCAAGATGCAGTACAAGATCAATGAAGTACTTAAAGTGGTTTGTTTTCCAACAACATATTTATTCATCCTATCATTATGATTGATTGAATGTATATATTGTTTATCGTCTTTCACGAGAATTTTTCACTCATATGGAGACATCACCATATGCCGGTGAAGGACTTCAAATTTAGACCTATACTCGGCACTCAGAGCATTGAGCAGTGAGGGTTCTTTATTGAGCCAGCGCCTACCGTGACACGGGACCTACGTTTTTAAGGTCATACCCGAAAGACCCATGACTTTCACTTCTGATGCCGAGCGCTTGGTGAAGGAACAGTCACTACCTATTTTTACGTCTTAGGTTTGACGTGGCGCCGGGAACGAGAATCGAACCCGGACCTCCCGATCACGAAGGAAACGCTCTACCACTAGGCTACCGTAAATGGTCCTTTTATGAAAAGTACACTTAATAATAAGTCTTTGAATAAATCACCACCTTCATCTAAAGTAAATTGCTTATGGTGCATTTTAATTCATATTATAGGTAATACAGGGTTTTCTAAGAGAGGAGGATCACAGGAGTGGAACTGTTTCATTTACCCAACACCTTGAGCTGACTGATCAAGGGAAATATGAAGCAGTTTACAGATGAAAGTTCTGCTGGAAGCACAGAGATTAATACTGAAAAATACATGTATTACCTCCGTCCGGACTCATCATAACAGAAAGTATTTTCAAAATGTTGCAATCACGAAAATCTTCTGGGAGTTGGAAATCAGTCTTACAGAAATTCAAGATCAAGTAGGAACACTGCAGCAAATTTATATGCTACAAAATGTGAAAGCATTAGAGAGTCTCAAAATTTATTGATACAAACAGTCAAATCAGGTAGAGTTGATGATGGAGTCCAGAGAGAGCCAACAGGAGGAAGCATGGGTTTGGCACTGGAGAGCAGAAGAAAGCAATGCAATTCTTCAAGAAAGAAAAGGACTACTTGTGCATGATATGCGAAGAATGTGACAGAACAGGAAAATGCCCCGATAGTGTCTCATTGGCAGATGAGCTGAAGAAAGTAACTGATAAAAATGGTGAAAGACTTTTTAAGAAAGACAAATGGCTAAATATTTCACAAGTAAGAGGATATATTGCCCCATATATTTGTCAATAAAATCTAAGAGTGTCTCTGTACCTACCTCTGTAAAAAATCAATTGTTGTTTGAAAGGTGTTTTGAAGATGTTTGTATTGATGAGGATGAAAAACTTGCAGAGATTGTTTCTGCTTTAGACTCGAATATATATGAAAATCAAATGACTGGTATGGTGAATGATGTATTTACATCTGTAAATATTCAGTAAGTTTATAAGCTGTATAATCACATATTTTAAAAGAGGGGAATCGAGGATTCAGGAAAAAAATATTGATATGTGGGGATTTTGATTTTATTTTGTAGTTGTTGAAGTGTTGAGTAGTAATTAAGCATATAAATTTTAAATTTCATGATAGTCATAAATTTGTGGGTCTCTCCATGCCCCAAATACATTGAAAATTACCTCCCCCCCCCCAAAAAAAAAAATGGAACCTTGGAAATTAAAGGTTCCAATATACTTAACCATGGAATTAATTTTGACATTCTTACATTATGATCAAAAGTTTCATGTTCATTAGAATGTTAGAATTCTGATTGTTACAGTATTTTCAGTTTGATGGGATATCAAAATAAGTTTTTTTAAATTTATAAACTCTGTTTCCTACATCACAATATGACTTCTATCAAAGAATGTATGAATCATTATAAAAGTAATTAGTTCCCAATACAGTGTAACATGTTTTGGAATCAACAGAGAATGAAATTAACTACAGTAACTGTAAACATGAATTCATTTTAAGTGTGTTTACTGTAACCAACATTATGTACATGAAGTTCATGTATTACATACCATATATTGTAGAATAAGAGATCACAATGCTAATTTTGACCTTTATGCACTTGTTTACTGAATTCTATTTTAGGAGAGCTATCATATTCAAAAGATGTTGAAAAATAATCAAAGTTATTAATTTTTACAGAAGTTTGGTTTTGTTTACTTAAAACATTTACAACAATATTGTTTTCCTTACATTTTAAGTTTAAGAGATGAAAGGGGATTCATAATATTGTGTGTAACACCCCCCCCACCCCTTTCTAATGGATTATTTTGATTTGTAGAGGTGTTATCTATTGAACTGTAATATATATGTTTAATTTTTAAAATACAGATATGAATGTTACCACAGAAACATTTTTTTTTTAATGTTTTGAAAAGTTTTGAAGTATTTTATGTATAACATTTTAAGTATTTTTGATACCTTGAGTGTGAAAAATCAACTTACTTTGACATTCAGTGAATACTAAAGTTTGAATTTGCCATCGGCAATTTTTCATGTTTTGTTCACATAATCATCCTTAACAATAAGCAGTAAAATTTACTAGATTAAAATTTCCATTTTGGCAGTAAGTGTTATTTCAATTTATTAGAAAATTGACATTTTTTCAAAAATATGGAACATTGCCAATTTTATGACCTTTTTGCACTTAAACAAAATGGATGTCAGTCATTTTTACTATGCACTTAAGAAGTACTAACCTGTGTTCTTTTATTTCAAAATTAAATATTTTGATAATAATGAGAGTTGCAGTTTTCATTCTTCTCCAAATATGACTAAAAAGTATAAAATATGACCTGAGATTTTGTTGCATAAGAGCTATTTTTAGTAACAGGTCATATAAGGTATACCGGTATGATTGGCACAATAAAAATTTGTCCAATTTCCATTCATGCATACTAGATTTAGCTTGCAAAATTTGAAGGCAATTGGAGAACCTTGCTATTGGACCATTTTGCATGTTTTTCTCTGAGACACGCTCTTAATTGTATGGTCGATTAAAGTACTTGTTTGCGATTGTAACCTAGCTTTGGGTTGTATTTTATTTTATACCATACAAAGGCTTTTGATTTTACTGAATTCGACTACAGAAAGTTCTGATAATATGGCTCAAAATGTGCGACACTCCTCAAAATGGAATACACCTGTATCGGTAATGTTAATTTGTACAATACATTTGGGGATCATACCTTAGTTTCTAGGGATCATAGTTTAGTACCCTCTCTAAAAATTAAAATTTTTTATAGCATGTCTTTAGTCAGTCAAAGGGTTTTCTTAACCTTTTTCATTCCTATACCTAGCTATATTAAACGAAATATTGCATCTACGTGACTCAAATTTATAATCTTACATATATGCCAATTAGAACACAAAAGAATTTCTTATATTTTTAACTTCATGAAATAAACTTTACGATTAAATAATCCTTCTTTAGTACATGTATTATAAAGCAGTAAACATATGACGGTAACCATGAGAGAAACCCTTAATACATGTATTTCACAATTGAAGAATTGAAAAGTCTGAAGTGGTACATCGACATAATCCCAATAAGAATATGAAGGGAGAAGCTGAATGGATGTTGCTCCTCTGCATTATACCAATGTCGGAGATTACAATCACAGGTTTTTTTAAAAAAATAAACTTACTGACACTATTTTATTTATAAGAGAAACATTTAATGAAATGAAATAAAAATCATGTTTATCAGTGACCATTTTTACACTGTATCGTACTCTAAGCTTGTTAAAGAAAATTTGAATCGTGTATATATATCTTTTATGCATTTACTAACAATAAGTATGGATTAAAAATTCTATTTTTAAATGTAGATTTAAGCTAATGGATCGGTATACATTGATAAAGAAGAATTTTCTACTAAACTTGAAAATTTTATATCAGTTTGTTTGCCTTTTCCTAACACTATTTAGTCTTCTTGGTGTAATTAATGCTTGATTTTTTTTTTATTGTCGTAGGTATGAAACTTAACTGGTACGAAGCACAAAGTCGATGCAGGGAAACAGGAAGCCGTTTGTTGTATAAATATCAAGCAACGAACTTCTACTGGACACCCTATTATAAAAGACTGTCTTCGTGGATAGGGACGTTAGGTCTGATTTAGATCTTTATTGATCATCAAAAAAAAAAAAAAAAAGAAACACGTTTAGAAAAATAATAAACGTTTCCAAAACAATCCCATCTTTCAAATTATCGGTATTTCAAATTCCGTATTATTATTAAATTTGTTTTTAGTCATTAAAGCCTTTACATTACATTGAATCTTAAACATATTGAATCATCATTAAAATTAAAAAAAAACAAAAAAAACTCTTGAATTGCAATGACAATAAAATGTGATACTGTTCATGATTATGAACACATTTAATTTTTAAAAGGCATAAACAATTGATTATAAATCGCTGTTTATGTGAATTTGTTTTATATTTTAACAATTTGTATAGAGTTCGTACACGTTTGACCGAACTTTTTTATTCAACATCATTCTTAACATATTTATTGTTTAAATCGGGTTGCTACCAAGATTCTGCCATCAACACTTCTACTTCCATGGAAATGAGAATACCTTCTATTGGAATGTGTCAGGAACTATGTTTAGAGAAAGAAATAATGTCCTTTGCTGTAAAGGTGTTTGTTTTATTAGATATCTAGTTGAATTTAAAGTTCGAATTTTATTTCAGTAAGATAAAATATACACGACTGTACATATATCAAACAAAAACAACTGAAAAAAAACTGTAACTACAAATAATCGAATTCATAATTATAATTGATAATAATTTATATACTCTTCCAGAATTACATTTGTGTTTGCATTCAAACGGAGTTACTACACGGGGTACATTCCCAAAATCCAAAAATGTGTAGCTACAATTGCAGTACTTATACAGATAGGAAGACATTGTATGAGTGCGGGGGACCCTATGCATACAACATTTATTTTTCGGGTATTTCGTGTTTTTGAAGGTCTTAAAAATGCTTTACATGCACTTAATTTAAAAAAATAATGGGTAAAAGCACAAATGTTTTTGAACATCAGCGATTCTTGACAACAGAGAATGAAAAGAATACAGGAAAAATAATGTTCAATTCTTCACTTTTTGTACTAACTTAAATAATCCCCGCCACTTTTTTTCGACCAGAGGCTCTTTATAAACTGCTTCACAAGACTCATATGCGTGTGAATTTCATTTAGAACCGTAGCCTGATTTTCAATGTTATTGAGACGTTTTTATTCATATATGATGTATTTTTGAAAATAAACTAGATTGCACTAGCAATCTAGCTGGGATCTAACCACAAGTCAGAAGATTACATGTTTTAACATGTGAGTTCTTCAGCCCCGAAGATTTAAAAATGCCTCTTTCATGGAAAACATCTAATCAGGTTGGAAATAGCTGATATCAAAAATTACTCCTGACATGTCAAAAGGGAAACATGAACTCAAAAAAGAGGGAGGGGGGATAAAATAAAATATTTGAAATGATAACCAAGACTAAAACACATGTTAAAGCCAGCTAAGTTAAAAAAAGGAAGAGTGACGACTGTAAGGAAGTGTAGAAGGGAAATGAAAAAAAATAACTATTTTTAACAAGACAATTAAAATAAATAATAATATCGAAACGATCACAAATTTATAGGGAAGCTAGAGAAAATGATATCATGGCACTAAGATAACCCCCGCCACCTTTCCTGAGTAAAAACTCTTTATCAACTGATTTATAAGTCTAAGACTTAAATGCGTGTTAATTGTATTTGAAACCGTAGTTTATTAATATTAGTACTGTGTCATTTTATTCTTATGTAGTGCTTACTTAAAACTATTATAACCATTTAAACCTACATTTGAGATGTAAATAATATAAACAGAGGATATGTGAATTGTAGAATTTGATCATTGCTTTAATCCAACGAGTTGAAATGATATATTTTTCCGAGGCTTGCCGAGAAAATATACACTATTTCAACGATTGGGATAAAGGAAATATCAAATAACACAATCATAAATATTTGTTTTACATGTATCTCATTCGATTTTCGCTTTCAAGAAAACTTTGAGATAACCCCTGTAAAACAATGAATGATTTATATGAAGATTTATGACGTCGTGCTGTTGATATTGACATGCCAAAAGAAAGAATCAAAGAAAAAAAATAATAAAATCTTTGATACCTGCGTTTTTCAATGACAATTCATTGAGGTATTCGAGTATTTGTCTTACTTCTAACGAAACATAAGGCAAGAATTTTCAAAACTCAATGTTTAAAGTTGAAAGCAACGGATTGTGTCAAAATTGGAACTGGCATTAATAAAGCACCAACAATGCAGTGGTTTATTTCATGGGTAATATCCTCAACACGTCTGGGATAAATGGTAAATCACATTTAACATGCTTTTGATTTTCAATTTCAAGAGATATGTATCATTATATCATTAAATCATCCTTTTCTTAAGAACATCATTAATTTTCTTTTAACACTCCGTGTTTTCAGAATTATTTATCCAGTCGATGATTTTACATAAAGATTATTTGTCTTTGCAATAAAACTGATAATTAACAGTTACTGACACTAATACGATGTCCGTTATAACGTATATTGCAAGTGAAACCATCATAAGGTATATGCTATATATCGGGATGGCATGGGGGTACGTGTAGGGGGCTGTTGAGAGTATTATTTAATTGCTGCTTCTTATTTTAAGGTCAGAAGGCAACTTCATTTATTCATTTAAGCATGATTGACGATCAATTTATTTAAAAAAAAATTATATCTGAAGTACAGAAATAAGTATATTAGGAATACAAGAACGTTAAGAATAAAATCATTGAATAAATAATTATATGAATCAATAAATTTACTTAGATCAACAAACAAGTTGAATAATATTTTATGGCATTCTTAATGAAGATTTTGATTTTTATTGTAGTCAAATCATTTGGAGAAAGAACAAAAAAGAAGGTTTCAATGTGCATGGCCCTACAGTGTGGTGATTCTAGATATCTAAGTAGAGAGTGCAGTTTTCCACTCCAAAGGGTTTGCAAGAATGAAAGTAAGACAGTGTATTCTTTTATGTTACCTGGGACATTCAGGTGACCTATTGCCACCTGTTTTCTTCCTTCGTGCGTCTTCCGCGTAAATATTTGTGGCTTCTCCGTAACTGCCAAACCCATTTTATCGGAGCCCTAGAAATTTTGAACTTGTTATTTATTACTTATATATAATTTGAAACAGACAATTGAATATTTTCGAACTTTAATTATTTCACTAACCCTACACGTAGATTTTAGAAAAAAAAATACTATAGGGGTAGAAGGATTCTATCTCGATGGGAATATATTATGAAAGACTACTTATGATCATTTATCATAATAGTGAACACATTCTTTTATGGAAATATTTGTTTTTGTGATAATTGATAATTTAAGCAAAAAGGCACAAACACATGTCCAAAGATGATGAAAACTTCGAAGAATTTCGTTCGTTCAGCAACATGAAAAAGGGATGGATGGATCCGATGGATGGTGTGAGACTTCGTTATGGACAAGAGACAAAAATTAACGTTTAACAGTAATATGTTGTAATATATTAAACAAAGTTAACAATATGACTGACAGAAATGTCGAAAAGGTTAGACGACGAATGTCCTGGCACTGAAATACACCTGCTCCACTTACTATACTTTCTCTGACGGGGAACTAGTCTAATACACATGTGACACACGGTCATATTAAAATCAGTAAAAATAAAATACCTACAGTTGAGACACTAATTCGAGTCAGTTAATTTGCAATCAAGTAAACATTAAATCTTCGATTTCAGTAAGTCATATTTATGATGTAGACACTGAGACACTGGCAACAGCTTAGATTGTTACGACAACGCCAAGGTGTTTGTCAGCTATTTGTTGCGTAATTGCAGTGCTTTGATATTCAAATTTTAGCAGATTTACAAATTCGTCGTTAGTAGAATCTGATGAAAAAAAATATTTATCATGAAAATGGAACTAAAGGAAGGAGGTAAACGTTAGGGACTGTATACCTGACATAAAACAAAGTCTTGTTTACTGCCGGAATATTCTCTTTATACACGGGTTACATGTAAATCGACTGACAAAAACTGTTTTAAATTCTTGGCTACGTTGTAAAGAACACAATTCTTTTAATATTACTTGACTTAATGCGTATTTTGTTAAATCCGTACGAAAACCACAACATTGAACCCCCGATGCAGTTGAAACGTACACAGTTTTTGTAAACAGGGCTCGAACCCTGTTATTGTTGATGTTTACGATTCACCGGGTGCGTTCAAACATTAAAGTCTACTCACCACAACTGCACGGACTGACAATATATTGTGTGTATGTTTTGCTTTCGAACATGTCTGCTTTGAACTTTCTGGATTATAGTTTAAATGATTTTCCTTTATACACAACAAGATTGCCATTTCTCCTACGCATTAAGAATAAAAAAAGAATGTTGAAGCGCGAGGACGTGTCAATCAAACCCAATTAAAAATTTGAAGTTTAATAACGTTTAGATTAATGAGATTTTTCATTTATTTTTGTTTGAAATGCTATTGAAATATATAATTCGTAATATTATACAGAATATATCAATTTCAAATCTGTGTCCATTCACCGGTCACGGTAGCCTAGTGGTAGAGCGTTCGCTTTGTGATCGGGAAGCCCGTGTTCGATTCTCGTTTGCGGCGCTGCGTCAAACGTGAGACGTAAACAAATGTAGTGAAGTGAAAGTCACGGGTCTTTCGGATATGACCTTAAAAACGCAGGTCCCGTGTCACGGTAGGCGCTGGCATGATAAAGAACCCTCATTGCCCAATGGCCCTGAGTGCCGAGTATAGGTCTAAATTTGAAGCCCTTCACCGGCATACGGTGACGTCTCCATATGAGTGAAAAATTCTCAAGAGGGGCGTTAAGCAATATACAATCAATTATTGAAAAATTAAGAAAACCAGTCATAAATATGGGAGTTTATTTTTTATATTCAACAAAGGAAATAGATCCAGATTACCTACAGTCTCTCTGAAAACGGAAATTGGTATGTTAATGGCCTCTTGTTTAAATCAATATCAAATTTAATATATAGGTATCCGATTTACTTTTCATAAGATTTCAAATTGAATGTCATGAAAATACCCTATTTTCTACATAATTCTGCTAAAGCCGTAAAGTACGGGAAAAAGAAAGTTGAAATTGATTATGACGTCGTAATGGATCTTGCACCAAAAAATTAGTTTAAAGTCATTTACTAGATCTTGACCTTAATATGTCCCTTTTTAAAATAAATGTTTTAGCTTTAGGATTCAATCATATGCCAAAAGCCTTTGAAAAAATAAAATTTTTACTCTCCATAAAATGCCTGACGCTGGATGATTTTAACTCTAATAAATTATTGGTATACTATATCAAATTTGATGCTACAGTGTACAATGTGTATATGAAATATGAAACTAAAATTTTTTTTAGAATTAGGTCAAGGCATTGCATTGTCATGGAGAAAATCAATGGACGAATGTAAGTTGTCTGAAGATCCTTCATATCTACTCGGAAATCTAAACTTATCAGATGCTGAGTCAGAATGTGGAAGGCTAAATCAGACAAATCTTGGTCAATCATGGGTTGGCTTTGCACAGCAAATTTACACAAGTTTTAATAAGGGTAAGTTACTGGGCTTATTCATTTACCATTGCATAAATTATGAATACTTTATCAAAACCTGAATATCAGAATAGATTTATTTGCATTATGTAGGCCTTTCAACTGCCGCTAGGGGTCGGTGTTATGCACGATAACTCACTGCTGAAACTTGTTTAGAGCAGGCTCGGGTTATCTAACTGTTTACACGCAAGGCAGTTTTCAGCATTTCCCAAGTGTTTCTTTGCTCTCAGTAGAATCCAGTAGTTTTAAAATTTAGCACCAATGTTAAACTTATTTATTGTAAATGTGGACACCAGCTTACTGCATATAATTAAAATTTTTAATTAAAATAAAAAGTGAAATCTACCCTCCTTCTCAGTTCTAACCTAATTAAATTTTTATACTCGATCGTTCTCCTTCGTGCTTAGTGACACAAATAAGATGATCAATTGCTGCATTTACAAAAGCGCAAACACATAAAACATGACATTAAATTTTCTTCTTCATAATAATCGCCAAAGAGAGTTAAAACTATTGAATATAGTCTGTTTCCCGTTCATTTGACCCTGTTATTTCAGGCAGAGTGAAGGCATTCTCTTTGTCTTGGTCAAAACATTTTGTGTATAAAACAATGTAAGGAACCCTTTTGTGTATATAACAATACCAATGCTTAAGCAACCTATATGTCATTCATATAAACGATCACTGTCTCATAAATCGGCACTAAGTTGGTCATTTTTCATACCTGGGTTACCTGTCCTTAAGCACAACATCGGAAAAGTCAATTATAAATGATTAAACTTTTTAATTATGTAATTAAAAGTATGCATAAGTTATTATTTTTTTGATAATTTCATGTACCTATAAATCTATCTATACAATATTTTTACCATATGTGCAACTTGAAAAACTAGTTGAAAAGTCTACATTATGAGGTACGTAAATACCAATTCATATTTAAAAAAAAAACTCTCTGTCTGCATTATTATGTGTGCCTTTCCTATGAACGTATTTGATTGTTTCTAATATGTTTTAGGCCAAAGCATCAAAAAGGAAACAATCGTACAATGTCAAAGGTGTAAATGGAACAATTGTTCATTCATAGACTGTGCAAATGGAGAACAATACAGATGTATCAATGTAGGTTTTTTTTATTTATAACGTTTACAATTAAGGAATGTTTTTAAGCTTTGTTATTGGTGTGTGAATCACTTGTCAAGTAGACATATTTCATGAAGTGCGCAAGTCTACGTTTTATGAAATATGTCTACGTGACAAGTCTGTGTGATTCTTGCACCAAGAATTCACACTAAACTTATAAGCATTCTTTGTTTTAACATTTTCCATGTCATAAAACATAAAAAAAATATACTCAATATTTGAATTTTCCCCTGCCCTATTTTGTTACATTTTGTCATGTCTCTATAGCCTCATTGTGACGTCACGTTAGCGCGTGTTTTCTATTTATATATCTTCGCATGAGTATACATGTGCACCAAAATAGTACACATCAATTTTCCCGTTGGCTTACTAAAAAATCAAAGCAAATATAAATATAGGTTATAAGATTCTAATTTTTATTTATCGAAATATCTAAAAAAAAATTTCTAAAAAAACATTACAGTAAAATGAATGATGAATATTATTTTGCTTTTAAGATAAAAAGGTATTATATTTCGAAGGATTAGAATCAGTTACATTTTTAATATGTGTTGGAACAAATAAGATGTATTGCAATTATTATTTTTTTGGTTTGGATGCATTGGAATGCATTTTATATGTTTATGAATTGTATATGATTTCTTTAAAAAAAAATGTTCACACGAATTACATGATTTAAGGTAAAATAAATGTTATGGATATTCAGATTTAAAAGGATTAAAATATTTGTGCATGAAGGTTATACTTTTATTTAATAAGGAGAGGGTAGAAAAAAATTGAGCAGATAAATGAATGAAAACACAAAAAAAACTAGTGCTAATTGTAACGGGGACCGTTACAGATGTTCCCCAAACGCTCCCCAACTCCCTTTTGGTGCCATATTCCTGTAAGCTTCATTAAATAAGACAACCTCTATGCATCTGAGATTTTAACAACATTAACAAAGAAGTGTACAAAAATCATTTCAACTTTAGCATTGCACGCGTGGATATGGTCATGCATATGCGTCATGACCATATCATCTTGTCTACACAATCTATATTTTTAATATACTGAATATTAAAGTATTTAATCCAAAATTATTTTAAAAAAATTTGCTCATTCAAGTGTATGTTTGATTTTTCTCATTTCACGTGCACGCACGTGCATACATGAGCATGGTGACCATACCTTCTTGTAGAAGTCCATTACATCTATCTATGTTCTAAATTCCACCCCGTTTGGGTGAAAACTAAGGGAGTTATAGCTGTTTAAAGTTTCAGCCAATCAGATTGCAGCACATGTACACGCACGTGTATGCATGTGCATGGTGACCATACTTACTTGTAGAAGTCCATTATATCTATCTATGTTCCAAATCCCATCCTGTTTGGTTGAAAACCAAGGGAGTTATAGCTGTTTAAAGTTTCAGCCAATCAGATTGCAGCGCACGTGCATGCACGTGTTTTCATGATAATTGCTTTATTTCGTGTTGTAGGATATCCTGATGCATGGCTATGTTCAAAATTTCAAAGGATTTCGTCAAAAAACAAGAAAGATATTGAGACTTTAGTTGCAGCCAATCAGAGCGAAGTGCACGTGCATGCGCGTGAGATCTTGCTATTTTCACCATGTCGTCATGTCTACACTACTAATATATCCTCACATTATGAGTTTCAAAGCATTTCATTTAAAAATAGAACAGTTGTGGCTATATCTATTATATTGGTCATTTCACGTGTTGCACGTGCACGCTCTTGCAAGCACGTGCGCGCAAAATGACCTTGATTCCGCAAATCTACATAACATGTCTACTAACCCTAAAAAGGTTTTACCTACATCGGACGAACAGTTTACAAGATCATTCCCGGACAAAAAAGTTCCAGGAAGAAGAAGAAAAATAATAATAACTAGAGCAAAGCTCGTTGCAAAGCAACGAGTAGGTCTTCCGTCCTGTTTGACCGGAAGTAGTATTAATTTTTAACAAAAATGAGAAATAACGCCTAAAAATGGTTTGAATCCTTTAACGCTATGTTAATTAATGCAAAAATAAGCAATTTTTTGCTACTTCCGGTTTGACCGGAAGTGACGACAACGGACGAAAAAATTATTTTTTTGCTTCTAGAGACATTTGTTACCAAAAAACTTGTCAAGAACGGCAACAATACGCGTTTTTCGACTACTTCCGGTTTGGACGGAAGTGACGACGCCGGACGTTTTCTGACGACTTCAATAGATTAAGCTTGTCATTTTGAACAACTTTGCTTCTTTGACGTATTACAAATTCTCAATACGTTTTGAGATATAAAGAAAAAACTGTTGGACCCTCTAGGCCCTTAAATTTAGGGGCCAGCCCTTTTTTCGAGATATCATTTGAAAGATCTTTTAATTCTGCACTTCTTTTGTTCTATACGTTTTCACAAAATATTTTCAGGTAAAAAGATATCGAAGAAAAGGTGTGAGAAGTTTTGAAATTTGTGATAGGTCTATTTTCGGGCCATAGCGAGCGCCGACGAGCGTCACTTCCGGTAAATTTGATATACCTGATGCACCTCTCCAGACATAGCTCTACCTAGCCTCAAAGTTTGAAGTTTCTATCTAGAGCCGTTTTTCGGGAAAATTGTGGACAAAATGACCCTTAAAAATCAGAAAATCGACGATATCTCTAGACCGGAAGTGACGTCATCGAAACGGAAAAAAACGCATAAGGTTCAACTGATGTTCCATACGTCCTGAAAGTTTCATAAGATTTTGTTGAGCCGTTTTCGAGAAATCGCGTGCACAAAATCGGTAAGAAAAAAAAAATAACTAGAGCAAAGCTCGTTGCAAAGCAACGAGTAGGTCTTCCGTCATGTTTGACCGGAAGTGGCTTTCATTTTTAACAGAAATGAGAAATAACGTCCAAAAAAGGTATGATTCCTCTAAATCCATGTTAATTATTGCAAAAATAAGCCATTTTCTGTTACTTCCGGTTTGACCAGAAGTGACGACGACGGACGGAAAATTAATTAAAATGCTCCCAGAGACATATGTTACCAGAAAACTTGTCAAGAACGGCAAAAATACGCGTTTTCCGACTACTTCCGGTTTGACCGGAAGTGACGACGCCGTACGTATTTTGACGACTTCAATAGATTAAGCTTGACATTTTGAACAATTTTGCTTCTTAGACGTATCACAAATTTTCAATACTTTTTGAGATATAAAGGAAAAACTTTCGGCCCCTCCAGGCCCCTGATTTAAGGGGCCAGCCCTTTTTTCGAGATGTCATTTGAAAGATCTTAAAATTCTACACCTTTTTTGTTCTCTATGTTTTAACAAAATATTTCTAGGTAAAAAGTTATCGTTGAAAAAGTGCTTGAAATTTTGAAATTCTTGATAGGACTGTTTTCGGGCCATAGCGAGCGTCGGCGCTTCGTACTTCCGGTAGTTGTGATATACTTAGTGCACTTCTCCAAAAGTTGCTCTAGCATCACTGAAAATTTCAAGCTTCTGTGTTAAGTGCTTTTTGAGAAAACTGCCGGACAAAGTGACCCTATAAAAATCACGAAATCGCAGAAAACTCCGAACCAGAAGTGACGTCATCAAAATAAAAAAATATATATCTAGATTTTTTGATGTTCTATCAGACCTGAAAGTTTCATGAAAATCGATTGAGCCGTTCTCGAGAAAACGTGCGTACAAAATCGGTAAGAAAAAAAACAATAATAATAAAAATAGTGGAAAAGAAACCTAAGAAAAACAATAAGGTCTTCCGCTGAAGACGGAAGACCTTAATAATAAAAGTGAAAAAGAAACCGAAGAAAAACAATAAGGTCTTCCGCTGAAGACGGAAGACCTTAATAATAATAAGAAACAGAGTAAAAACAATATGTTCCCCAACTTCGTTTGGGGAACATAATAACAGTTCAATTGATTAATTGATTGATTGTATATTGTTAAACGTCCCTGTAGAGAATTTTCTTTCGTATGGAGACGCAACCATTTGCCGGTGGAGAGCTGCAAATTTTGTCCTATACCCGGCACTCAGGGTCATTGAGCAGGGATGGATCTTTCTCGTGCCAGCACCTATTGTGACACGGGGCCTCGGTTTATTCGGTCTCTATGTCCCTCAGTGGTATTCGAACCCGCGACGTAAGGATTGACTCCTTACTTCGCGACTCTAGAGCTGTCGCTCTAATCACTGCGTCACGCAGGCGACTGCAGTTCGTTTTGAAGAATCTTCAACTCTCTACGATTAGAATTATTGGATCTATAGTCTTTTGAAATAATTCTTGTTATCTAGACTCAAGTGCGTCTAAACATTCGTTTTTTACTCTTTTTTTTAAATGATCATGTATCGTCTTCACTCATTTACGTGCACTGATAAAATCCTTCGGTGAACATATTCATTGAATTTTCTCAGTGAATGTAGGCGAACGTAATTTTAATGAAAGAATTTGAATAAACGCATAAATGCATTTTAAATCTATAATAAAAAGAGTTCCACCCTAACTCGGGAACCACTGACTCCGGGGTATCATTTCGAAAGAAAGCACCTTTGCTCTCCATAACAATGTATCAAAGGTATATACTGATTAAGTACCCGTATGTTTGCTTAATGCCAAGGAGCAGAGAAAGAGATTTAAAAAAAAAAAATTAATTTGAAATATTTTAACCGCGCCCTAGCTAGCACTAGAACCCCAAATATTTGGCCATGAATACCACGATGGTGGTAGAGGACTCAATGCTTATTACAAGCATCCTAACAATTTGATTGGTTAATATCCAAGAGTAAAGAAGGATGTGAAAGATTACATTTATTTTAGTGGTTTCGACCCCGCCGCTTAGGCCCCAGGGGACAAGGAACATGAAATTCACAACTATTGTTCCCCTTCACCCATAGATGCCCTGTGCCAAATTTGGTTTAAAACTTTGCATTATTTTTGTAGGATTTAGCCCCACATATACAGACTGTATTTATGATTCTTTTTAAATAAATGAACGTGTTTTAAATGTGTCAGAATTTATTTGTAGGTTCCTATTGCGACCCGCAAACCTATATCAGTCAACTTTACAAGTCTTTACCAGTTTAGTTCATCCAGAAAGGTAGAAAAGATCACAGAGATTTACAACAAGGCAATATCATTTGCTATTTTTACAAAGTCAATGTCTTTGACGAAAACTACAGTAGCACCTTCTACAGGTATTTAAATGCATGTAGATGCTAACTTTTAAGCAAGGTCTTTTTAAAATAGGTGAAACTATGGATTAAAAATTCATTATGGTTATAAAAAATAAAATCAGTAGAAGCGCTTCAGTTTGACATTTTACATTTAATTTTCACCACACATGTACTGCTTAACTAAATGAACATGCTATGAAATTACAGAACACTATCAGAGAGCGAAGAAGACACGCAGATGTTAAAACTTTAGATGCATCTCTTTTTTTCGTTAACAAATAAGCTTAAAAACGATGAATTAGAAAAGGTTTTTGCAGTACTTTATTTATCGCCTATGTTTAAAATTTATGCTTCAAACGTTTAGTTAACATGTTTTTATTTAACCTGTTTTCTTCAACTTTATGGTAAATTTATAACTTATGTTCGATTCTTGGAAAATAGTATGATAAACATAGTACAAATATAGTATAATAAATATAGTAACCGAGATTGTTTTCCTCTTTTACTAACACGTATACTCTTTTTTAATTACCTCGAGAGTATTTAACTTTTTTTATTATTACTTATTGTATATATACAGAACAACAAAACCATTTTACTTATTCACTGACTTGATTTAAAAAAACCGGTAACCTAAATATTAGAAAAAAGTTATTCAATATAAATTCAATTGATATTTAACTTGCATCTTACTCATCCACTTCTTATTTAACTAATCCCTCTAATTCTTGGCAAAATTATCGAGTATAATCTGGTTTGGGTCAGTTTATGCTTTATTATCCGCGAAGAATTAGAATCAATCCTTATAATTTAATTTTAAAATAAACAACCGCGGATATAAAATTGTGTTGCTTTTTTATGAGTTCAAATTTACCGCGCAATAATACAACAGTAGTAATGGAAGTGATGGAAAAAGAGGGAAGGTAATAACTGATACATAGATCTAGCAGGCATGATGTTTGTTTACATGAGGTAAGATCGAGCTACTGTTTGAAGTTGAAGGTACATTTATTAGATCAAGAATTTTCCATGGATCCCGAGGACTGGAAATGAGGGGATTGCATGGATACAGATGATTCAGTTGGTTGTCAAGGGTGTATGTCCCCATACCAATCCAGATTAAAGAAAATAATTTGCGTTTCTTTTTTGAAATTAACTTACGAGAGGCCAGAATACAAACAAAATATTTTTTTTTTTAATATACACCGACTTTAAACTTCCAGGCATCATTCTTCCTGTCGATAAAATCAAGAGACATTCTTTTAAATAATATGGTGAACAAAAGGGCATGTTCCATAAGCAATGTGTTGCTTTTGACTTCCAACACTAGAATCAATCAAAAAAAGCTTTAAAAACAGCAAACATGATATCTGTAATTTTATATAATTTTTATACTTTGCCAACGATCTCTGGACTGTTAACTTACATGTACGTGTTATTGATTTAGATAGGCATATTTGGTAACTAGCACTTATATGCATGTACAAGTTTATGAGCTAATGACACTCTTACATGTATAAGCAATTTACAATAAACAAGTAACCGAGAATAAATCTGGATAACCCAGATAGCAAGACTATGTTGGGCCAACATTGGCAAAAGGTTGTATGGTTGGCGTTGGGGGAACAACGTTGGGCCAACGTTGGACCAATGTCACTATGCCAACCTTCTCGACCATGACAAAATTCCTATGTTAGCCCAACGTTGGTCCAACGTTAGCAACTTCCATTCACTGATGTGGATGTTGGTCCAACGTTGGCCCACTGTTTGTAATACACTCAAAGAAAGCGTCTTTTAAAGTTGGTAGTAGTATGCTGGCCCAACGTTGGCCCGATGTTTGTAATACACCCTTAAAGAATGCGTCTTATCAAGTTGATAGTAGTATGTTGGCCCAACGATGGCCCGATGTTTGTAATACATCCTTAAAAAGTGTCTTATCAAATTGGTAGTAGTATGTTGGCCCAACGTTGGCCCAATGTTTGTAATACACCCTTAAAGAAAGTGTCTTATCAAATTGGTAGTAGTATGTCGGCCCAACGTTGGCCCGATGTTTGTAATACACCCTTAAAGAAAGTGTCTTATCAAATTGGTAAGTATGTTGGCCCAACGTTGGCCAGATGTTTGTAATACACCCTTAAAGAAAGTGTCTTATCAAGTTGGTAGTAGTATGTTGGCCCGACGTTGGCCCGATGTTAGCACGAGTGTTCTTTTGTTTAGGTGTTTCAAAGATGGGATATTTATATTGGGCCAACGCTGGCCCAATTATTATACTGCCAACTAAATGATGGATTGGTGTCAGTTTTAGCTGTTGAGCTTTACGTTGGGACAATGTTGGTTCTAATTAAGTTTTAATTTAGATGCACATTCTGAAATAATTAAGAGGACATTCAATGTTCATGCTTTTAATTGGATGACTGTTTTTGTTTAGATCTGCTATTTTCAATATTAAGTGATCACAGCACCAAAGAGTGTTTTATTATATTTTTTGAATTGTGCACATGCATGCTTATTTATTTATTTGAAATAAAACCCTTGAAATAATGATTTTTTTCATGAGCGTTGTATTCATGAGAATTTAGAGAAGACTGAATATAAGTTCTCAGGAACAGGATGTGAATGAAGCCTACATATACATAAATCAAAATGGCACAGCTTTATAATTAAATAGAAACAAAAGTTAGGCGTTCTCTAAAGATAGGAGAGTCGCGCGGGTATCAAATTACACCAAACTGTGGAGTGAGTTGTCAGATTCAATTGCTTACAGACTTGCTCATAGACTGAAAATGCAGGGCAAGCAAGAAGAAGTGAAATTTAAATTTGTGGATTATACACTTGTTATAGCTGCATTTAGAAGCGATGTAAGTACATTTATTCTTATTTATTCAGGTTAACTGTTAAAATATATTTATTCGGAATTCATTCTTGTCATGTTTTTGCACACAAGCGCTGTAAGTTAAGGTTAAATGACATCTTTTAAGTTGTTTCTATCTAATTCTTAACTGTCTATTACAGACACGATTGTAACAAGGAAATTAAGGTGCACTTTTAGTATAATACATCATTCTCTTTATAAAAATTTTAATTTAAGTAATATTTATTCATAATATCAAACTATTTTGTATTTTCAGTCAGAGACTGCAAGGAAAACAAATGTTGTGGCGGTAAATAGCAGTGAAATCGAAGACCATAAAGAAGTGTATAAAGTACGAGTACGTGAGACAAAGATCAAGATGAAGAAATCGGGAGGCGACGAAGGGACGGAAAAAGAGCGGGAATACAACAAAAGGACAGTGATAAAGGAAGTGAGCCCTGATTAAGAACTTTGATTTGATAATTTTTAATTATTTACCTCTATTGTCTATTTTAAAATTTATATTTGTAAATTATGATTGAATTGATGTATATAAAGTATTTTCACAGTGAATCATTAGTAATGTTTTCATTGAACATGTCCATGTATGCATTATGAATGCAGATTGAATTGTGTATTAATTTTTTAACCAGTCATAAAATAAGTTTATGTAAAACATCACTTAACCAACTGAAAATGTTTCTATGTAATAATTACGTTGGCCAAACAATTTGCCATCTGACATTGTAAAAAAGGGTCAACATTGGGCCAACCTAACCAACCAGTTGTGAAGGTTGGCTGTTAGTTGGCAAAAAGTACAAACTACGTTGGCCCACAATATGCCATCTGACATTTCAACATAGGGCCAACGTTGGGCCAACCTAACCAAACATTTGTTAAGGTTGGCTGCTAGTTGGCATAGACTAATAACTACGTTGGCCCAACAATATGCCATCTCACATTTCAACAAAGGGCCAACGTTGGGCCAACCTAACCAACCAGTCATTAAGGTTGGCTGATAGTTGTCATACAATTATACCTACGTTGGCCCAACAATATGCCAACATGTTGGACCAACGTTGGGCCGATGAGCAAAATTACCGTGGGCCAACGTAAGGTTACCAACAATGGGCCAACGTTGGAAAAAAAATTGGGCCAACGTTGGCCCAACTATGTCTTGCTATCTGGGATTATACCAAAATGGATGTTAAAAATCCATTTAAAAATTATCTCTTACTAACTAACCAAAGCTTTTTTTTATGTTAATCTTAAAGTATAATTACATGTAGTAGCAAATAAAAAGTTCACCTTTTATAGTAATTATTTGTATAACTGTTGATTCGATGTAGCTGACGACATAGAGTTTTCTTGGAAAATTCTATTTTTTTTAAAAAAAACTGAATCTGTTTAGCAATATTTATCTTTCAAAGTTTGAAAAGAACTACATTTGCTTTAAAATTCTATTTTCCGAATAAGTGCGTACCTAATTTTTATACTGATATGCAAGTATTCATGTTATGAACATTGTAAAGATAGAATATTTGGTACCTTAGGAATATTTTCAAGGAAGAGGCACAAGAAAAAACGTTGAAAACTTAAATTGTCGAAAATATTCTAAATTTTATTTTGTGAATTTTTACTGGAAAAGCAGTCAATTTAGCTTGATTTTTGTCATATTTTCCTTTGAAAATCTTTATTGATTACTCAATATCTAATTCATCATGTTATAAAAGTGATGTGTTCTGGAGCATAACTCAATCAAACTTATTTTTTACATGTCAGTATCAGTAAGTTGCATGCAGATTAGATATACTTTTTTATTTAATATTACCTGTAGAAATCTATAGCATTTTTATATTGAGAAACTATTAAGTACGACTCCGTGTAAAAATTATGCAGATAGTACAGAAAAGGTGATTCATCGATAATCTTCAAATTCAATAAAATTGGGTTTAATATATTCGTTTGGGTCTAAAATGAATATAAACAGTTGATTTTGTTATAATTTTTCTTTTTTCATAGAGCCAGGGATAAAGTACTTGAGGTGTAATTTTGTATAGATAGTCTGCAAACAATGCCAATTTCAGAAAAGAATATCTTTAAAACCCTAGAAGATGTACAAAAACTTAATACATAATTTAAGTGAAAAGGGAAGGCTTAATAAAAATTT